AATTTACTTACTCTACCCCCATAATCTTGAGAAGCTAACTAAAATTTTGAAAAATGAGTAGACCTCACTTTATCCGTAGTGCCACCTACATTTCCCATAGTCATAGAGTCATTGCTCTAAAATATTCCATGTTGGATGTAGACTCTGTGACACAATTAACAACAAATTAAAATTAAAGTAAGCTTTTGGCACTTACAAATTGGCTTGATCAAATGGGGCCCCTTAGTCCCACAGTTAAGATAATTTATTACAGCCCAACAGAAGTTGAAACAGCACCTTCAAGGATTAAAATGTATTATACAAAACCTGATTAATAAAAGCGTGATTATCGACACCACATCTCCATTTAGCAACCCAAAAGTTCTTCCTGTTCCCAAATCTAAAAAAAAGAATTTCCTAAAAATGCCTTATGATGGATGACTACAGCAGACGGGCTGTTGAGGGCTGCCTCAACCCCTCAGCCCAGACCAGTGACAGAGCTACAAACACTGCTTCACTTCCTGCAGAGGTGGAGTTACAGGCAATGTGAGGAGGGGGTCAGGGATATTTTTTAGCTCTTTCTCATGCTACCCTCATGCCAGTTCCAGCTTCATCTACCCTTCAGTCATATTAAGCCATTCAAGGATGAGTGATCAAGTTTTTAATCAGGAAAAAACACTTCTGTGCCACCTGATTTGAGAGTAAGAAATAGAAAATGAGGCTATTGTGGCTGTCATTTCTAATTTCTGGACCTCAGCCTGTATCCTAGGGTAATTGGAAGTGCAAAAAAACTATAAGAAAACAGAAAGAGTGGTGGGGATTTGTCAGGCTTAGATGAGATCGTATATATTAAAGGGAAAACTTAATTACTTTACCCTTAAGTATAATGTTTGCTGTCACCTTTTTGTATGTTTCTCTTTTTAATCAGATTATTGAAGGTGTCCTCTATCCTTACTTTTTAAGAGTTTTCTTCTTCTATTACTTAAATTATGAATGGACGTTAAATTTTTTTAAATGTAATTTCTGCCAATATTAACATGATTATTTTTATTCTTTCATTTTCACCATTACAAATTAGGTTGATGAATTCTTCAATGTTATACTACCCTTGCGTTTCTGAAATGAATCACGCTTGCTCATGATATATCTTAGATACTTGTAATTGATCTTCTAGATTTGTTTAGAATTTCTGTATTTATGTTTATGTAAAGATGATTCTGTTATTTCACTTTTCTCTACTGTCCTTGTTAGGTTTTACATCCACTCCTAATGGTCTCCTGAATGGAGTTGGAAAATGATTTTCTGATTCTCTTCTGTAGTATTATATCTTTTTAAACACTGTTACACTTAAACTTTTTTTTTAATTTTCAAAAAAAATTTCTTTTGAGACAGTGTCTCACTCTGTCACCTAGGATGGAGTGCAGTGGCGTAATCTCGGCTCACTGTAACCTCTGGCTCCTGGGTTCAAACGATTCTCATGCCTCGGCCTCCCGAGTCGCTGGGACTACAGGCATACGCCACTATGCCTGGCTAATTTTTAGTAGAGATGGAGTTTCACTATGTTGGCCAGGCTGGTCTCGAACTCCTGACCTCAAGTGATCTGCCCGCCTCGGCCTCCCAAAGTGCTGGGATTACAGGCGTGAGCCACCACACCTGGCTTCAAAATATATAAAAAATGTTTATTAAAAATACTTTTTAATGAGATCCCATTTGTCAATTTTGGCTTTTGCTGCTGTTGCTTTTGGTGTTTTAGACATGAAGTCTTTGCCCATGCCTATGTCCTGAATGGTACTACCTAGGTTTTCCTCTAGAATTTTTATGGTATTAGGTCTAACATTTAAGTCTCTAATCCATCTTGAATTAATTTTCGTATAAGGAGTAAGGAAGAGCTTTTGCACATCAAAAGAAACTACCATCAGAGTGAACAGGCAACCTACAGAATGGGAGAAAATTTTTGCAATCCACTCATCTGACAAAGGGCTAATATCCAGAACCTACAAAGAACTCAAACAAATTTACAAGAAAAAAACAAACAACCCCATCAAAAAGTGGGCAAAGGATATGAACAGACATTTCTCAAAAGAAGACATTCATACAGCCAACAGACACATGAAAAAATGTTCATCATCACTGGCCATCAGAGAAATGCAAATCAAAACCACAATGAGATACCATCTCACACCAGTTAGAATGGCGATCATTAAAAAGTCAGGAAACAACAGGTGCTGGAGAGGATGTAGAGAAATAGGAACACTTTTACACTGTTGGTGGGATTGTAAACTAGTTCAACCATTATGGAAAACAGTATGGCGATTCCTCAAGGATCTAGAAGTAGATGTATCATATGACCTAGCCATCCCATTACTGGGTATATACCCAAAGGATTATAAATTATGCTGCTATAAAGACACATGCACACGTATGTTTATTGCAGCACTATTCACAATAGCAAAGACTTGGAATCAACCCAAATGTCCATCAGTGACAGATTGGATTAAGAAAATGTGGCACATATACACCATGGAATACTATGCAGCCATAAAAAAGGATGAGTTTGTGTCCTTTGTAGGGACATGGATGCAGCTGGAAACCATCATTCTTAGCAAACTATCACAAGAACAGAAAACCAAACACCGCATGTTCTCACTCATAGGTGGGAACTGAACAATGAGATCACTTGGACTCAGGAAGGGGAACATCACACACCGGGGCCTATCATGGGGAGGGGGGAGGGGGGAGGGACTGCATTGGGAGTTATACCTGATGTAAATGACGAGTTGATGGGTGCAGCACAGCAACATGGCACAAGTATACATATGTAACAAACCTGCACGTTATGCACATGTACCCTACAACTTAAAGTATAATAATAATAAATAAATTTTAAATAAAAATAAAAATAAAAATAAAAAGTTCTCTCTACATAAATTGCAAAAAAAAAAAAAAAAAACTTTTTAAAAACATTTACATGAAGCCAACTGGGTCTTGGGTTTTCTTTCTGGGAAGGATTTTAAATATAGGTTTAATTTCTTTAACAATTATTACATTGTTCAGTTTTCTGTTTCATATCTTTCACTTCTGGTAAACTATTATTTTCAAGAAATTTGGCCATTTCATCCCTACCATGAAGTTTATTGGCATGAAGTGGGATAACAACTGTATACAAACTTCACATGGTTCCTTTTGTATAATAAGAATGTAAGCTATCTGAGGGCAAAGATTGTGGTCTGTATTGCTTACAGATGGATCCTCACCGCCTATGTGTAAAATAGTGTCTGACATGTGGTAGACACTCAATAAATACTGAATTAATGAATCAATAAATAGTAGTGTCACCTAGATATTTAGGTGAGAAACATTTGATGTCTAAAATTATCTCCAGCCCTCATAACATGAACCAAGTCATGTCTAGTAAATTCTCATCCTCATGTGCACAATATTTATAAATTCCCAGGTGGCTTCCATTTTCATGAACACCTTAAATTTTGAGTTTCCGCTTCAATAGAGTACTCTCGCTAACCACTGCCTAATGACTTTGTATTTAAATCAACCAGCTCATAACTCAGCCCTTTACCTTGCTTTCTCCACGTAAACACTCAGAAATTGTCATTTTTGTGTTGTGTAACATACTTTCCTGATGCACTGGCAAAAGACACCACTCAACAAGAAGATCAAGGAGTCCTGTTATCAATGTCCTCTCTCACTCCACTGCTTTACTCACTCATTTTTCTCCTGTCTTCCCTAGAGTTCTGTGCATTTCCAAGGCAGAGCAGTTTGCCCATTTCGTTCACACTTTTGACTCCTATAAATGCTTTTAATTTCAAAAAAAAAAAAAAAAAGTATATTCTTTAATGCCCAACTAAGTTGTGGCCATAGAAAATGAGGAACAATGAAAAAAAAAGCAAGAGAGAAAGTCAGCAGCCATGAGGGCCAGTGTGTGACTTCTAGATAAGAGCACCAGGGCTTCCAGATGGGCGAATTCAGAGACTTCCTCCACTGTCAGGACAGGAGATCCTTACTATTCCTTCCCACTGGCCTTGGTTAATTGCAGTAGAACAGTGCCTGCTGCATCTCCCCGTTTTTCTTTTCCTCATTAGGAGTTTCCATTGTGGATTCTCAATTCTCATTGCATCGTGGTATATTGGGGCTTTGAATCTGAGTATTCTTTTAAGTTATGGGACAGTTATCACAAAGAAACTTCAACATAAAACGTTGGGGATATCATCCTTGGGAAGGATGGCTCTACTTCTTCTATTTGGGAGAAGAGTGTAAAGGGATCTTGAGTACCCGAAGGCATAATTCTGGCCAAGACTGACAGCTGCCTACCCAACATTCATCACTCTTCTTCACTGCAGTGAATGCTTATAAGGGTCTGTTGCCTCGGCATCCAGTCTGAAAACAAGCTTAATTTTCTCATATGAGGCTCAGGATTCAGTCACCCTTGACACAGTTTCCAGTTCTACACCACAGTCATGAGTCCAAGAAAAAAAAAAGAAGAACTTTAAGTACTGAGCAGAATCCAGTTCTAGGAAACATAATCCTAGCCCTACAATACTTAGTGATTTATGAACAAACTTCTAATGGGAGGGTGATAAAAGGAAATTCAATACATCATATGTATATATGCATATATTTTCATGTAAATATATGACAAATAGGTGGATTATGTACATTTAATATATAACCGCATCAAAATAAAGTTTTACAATTTGATTTGTTTGGGAATTCAAAATTCATATATTAATTTTTATACCAAAAAATCTATATAACAAAAAGATAAAAATGCACTGATTTGGTTTTGTGCCTTTACAACATAGGTACTAACTTAACTTCAACAACAGCAAAAATGCTCAAATTGACAAAAATTTATGGACTTTACATTGGGGCTCAAATTATACATGAGGATCTGTTGAGCACTCGATTATCTCGCTGTTCGGGGTGCCACTATGTAACCTGCCATGATCCCTGGTGGACTGAACAAAGGGGGGTGAACGTGGGAATAAAAGACAAGAGACAAAATAGTATATTTGGAAGAAGGGGTCGGGGGGCACCTTGCCTCTAGTGGACAAGGGCCCTGAGCTTTACACAGCCCTCCATATTTATTAGTCAAAAGAGATAGTGAGAAGTGGGGTGGAAGAAGAGGTCAGCTGGTTGGTCCAGAGTAGGCTTACAAGACTACATTCTCTAGATGTCCCAGTACATAACTTCAAAGAGCTTGGCGCCAGGAAGCAACTGCCCTCTGCAAACCTTCTGGCGGCAGGAGCAGTTGTGAGTCTGCTCACATCCTGTATTCACGATAAACAGTTTGCTCTTTCATCATATAGCCTCCAGTGGAATGCTGAGTTGGTCACGTCCCATGGGCCTTCAGCTCCCTGCATATCTCCCTTTCTGGGCGGTTCTCATACTCCAATTGGCGGTCCATCCAATTTTACAGACTATAAACAGAAGATAGAGATAAAACAACATAATTCCAAGAACTACATATAAGATGTTACTGTGGTACTTTAGATAGGTCCAAGGGTTGAGGCTCTCCAGGCCTTCCTGGAATTCAGTCCAGTCTTCTAAAGAAGGCTGAAATTCTTGAGTTTGCCTATTTAAATGAAGAATTTTGTTTTGTAATTCACCAGTATCAAAGGTGAGGTTGGGTGTGAAAGCTCCCTGCAAATGGGCTCTCACGAGGTCCCATGGATACTCACTTTGGTTGTATTCTAAGTTGGTTACACAAATACGAGCGTGATTAAAATGATGACGCAATTGCTGCTGCAACTGCAAGCTTTGTACTTGTTCCCCTAACCACAGAACCGTGGATTTCAACACTGCCACTTCAGCTTGTAACTCAGTGTTAACTTTATTCTGAAGTAGCCACGCTTGTCTGTACGTGTCCAGTTCTCTACGTGCTGAGCCATTTGAACAGAATTATGCAAAGCTACAGAGGACATCACAACAGAAGTTATTAGTGTGACCAAGGAAACGATAACAAAAATTATTATGCTTAAGGCTCTATGGGCACAATGAGTAAGCTGAGTTAGAAGAAGTTTCACAAAATGCAAAGCAGGTGTGGCAGCCCAAGCCTCGGACAGATGAACAGGAACCCATAGCCCAGGGATGCGACCTAAAATGATCAATGTAGAGATACTATGTGTTTGCAATGTGCTATGATTAATGCAATGATACAACTGGCAAGCTTTACAGGTCAACTGGTTATTGTTTACCTGGAACTGGTCGTTCTTAGCTGCCAAAAAGACATAAGTATTAAAAACACAAACTGCAAACTGGTGATATTCTTTACAAATGTAACATTAAGACTGTGTCGCGACTCCAGTCGGCCTTCTCTCCATCTCTGCACTCAGGCTCAGCTGACTCATGGCTCGTACCGGAGGGACTGGGCCCATGGTTGGCCACCCTGGGTCCCTCCAGTCTCCCATTCCATGGTCACATGCACCTTGAGGGCACCCACACAGCTTGTCCATCTCCTGTAAAACACAAGCATATCCTCTTCCCCCTGTCAGTAAATCCACCGGGCCTTTCCATTGTTCTTCTTCTGGGGATTTCCATAACATTTTTGGATAAACTTTCCTCTTTTCCTCTAACACTTGCCAATGTCTTTCTGCTGGAGTCTTACCATCTGTACCGGGAGTCAAAAATTTTAAAGTAAGTAAGGCTAAATGTAGTTTTGATTGAGGTGGTAGTTGGCCTCCTATACCCCATTTTTGTCTTTTCAACATGCAGTGTAATGTTTGATGTGCCTGCTCTATAATGCCTTGTCCTCTAGGATTATAAGGAATTCCAGTTTTATTGGTTAGAGCCCAAAGCTGTAGGAAATTTTGAAAAGCATGACTAGTATAAGTGGGTCCATTGTCAGTTTTTAATTGTTTAGGTATCCCCACATGAGCAAATGATGACAGACAATGTCACTGTGCATGACCAGCTGTCTCACCTGTTTGGCATGTAGCATGCAGCATATGAGAATAAGCGAGACAAATTAAGCAGTTGTGGGCCTAGTGTACTTTCAACTGTAGCAGTTTCTATGCGACTGGCTACATTTACAACATAAGCTGAATAAGAAGAATCTCCTTGCAGGGTTTGGTAAAGATGTTTAAGTTGATAGGTAGCAATACCTAACATCGGGCGTAGCCAATTAATATCTCCTAATAATTGTTGAAAATCATGTAAAGTCTGCAACCTGTCTTTATGGTTGACAATTGATTGTAGCCTGCCATGGTCCCTGGTGGAGTGAACGAAGGGGGCGAGCGTGGGAATAAAGGCAAGAGATAAAAGAGTATATTTGGAAGAAGGGGTCAAGGGGCACCTTGCCTCTAGTGGACAAGGGCCCTGAGCTTTACACAGCCCTCCATATTTATTAGGCAAAAGAGATAGCGAGAAGTGGGGGGGGGGGTGTTGGCCAGCAGTTTGATTCACAGCAGGCTTGCAAGACTGCATTCTTAAAACAATAGGCGCTAGATTTCTCAATAGATAACTCTCAATAGATAACTTCAAGGAGCCAGGGAGTGATGGCCCTCCGCAGACCTTTTGGTGGCAGGGCAGTGTGAGTTTGCCCACATAAACAGTTTGCTGTTTGATCACATAGCCTCCAGCGGAATGCTGAGTTGCTCACATCCCACGGGCCTTCGTCTCCCTGCAGTTGATAGGATCTGAAGCTGTGAGCTGTAAAACCTCGCAGCTGACTGCAATTAGCTCTGAGCGTTGAGCTGAAACCCGAGATCGTTATTGTTTGAGTATGTTTTGGTCCATAGATAGCGGCATGACCTTTGGAAGAGCCATCAGTACAACAAGTGTGCCCACCTGGAATAGGTTTGTGATGAGTAATAACAGGAAGAATGAAAGAATGGATTTTATTAAACGTAAAATTTTGTCTGAGGGTAATGGTTATCTATAGCACCCATGAAGTCTGCGAACGCAGTTTGCCAGGCAGTCTTCATTTCCCAAGCTGCAGCTTGTTGCTGGGAGTCTAAAGGAACAATAATTTTGTCAGGATCATATCCCGTAAGCATTTTTGACCTATGCCTGCCCATAGTTACAATTTGTGTAATTAAAGAAAGATAAACTTGCAAGGTTTTGACTGTTTGATTAGATAGAAGGAACCATTCTACTACTGTTACAGACTTGTCTATGAACTGGCCCAAAAGTCCTGTTGGAGAGTAGGGGGTAGGAAGAATAAACAAAAGCAAAGGTTTTTGTGGTTGTAGCCATGAGGCATATCTCTGTTGTAACATTTGCTCTACAAGCTGTAATTCGGCTTCTGCCTCTTTAGTTAGTTGCTGCCGGGAATTGAAGGAAGAATCTCCTTGCAGGGTTTGGTAAAGATGTGTAAGTTGATAGGTAGCAATACCTAACATCGGGCGTAGCCAATTAATATCTCCTAATAATTGCTGAAAATCATTTAAAGTCTGTAACCTGTCTTTACGGAGAACTACTTTCTGAGTCAGTACACTTCTCTCTGTAACAATCGTTCCTAAATATTGGTCTGGGGAAGTTGTTTGTACCTTTTCTGGAGCTATTTTGAGATTCCATTTAGTCAGAGCCTGCTTCGTTTCTCTGAATAACTGATGTAGGTTTTGATCTGTAGGAGCGGCCAAAAGAATATCATCCATAAAATGAATGACATAAGCGGTAGGAAACATATTCCGAGGCTCCTTGAATGCCTGTCCTACAAAATGCTGACACAGTGTAGGCCTGTTAAGCATGCCTTGGGGTAAAACTCTCCATTGATAATGGGAAACAGGTTCTCTTTGGTTAATAGAAGGCACAGAGAAGGCAAAACAGGCTTATTCTTCTCGTGTAAGGGTGTAGTAAAGAAACAGTGCTTAAGATCTATTATACAAGAGGCCAGTCTCTTGGAATAGCCGCTGGAGATGGTAAAACTTTTTGTAAGGCACCCATCAGTTTTACGTGTACATGAATAGCTCTTAAATCATGTAGTAGTCGCCATCTTCCGGACTTTTTTGGAATAACAAACACTGGAGAATTCCAGGCTTATGTGTCTGGCATCCCATTGTTCTTTTACTAGCTGCTGAAGTTGCATCAGGTTCTCCTGAGATAGGGGCCATTGATTCACCCATACAGGTTTTTCACTGAGCCATTCTAATGGTAAAGGCAGTGGGCGGAGGAGAAGTATCAATGACCCTCATCAGAAATCCTGACATCCTATCCCTTTTCTCTCTGTTTTTCCATTACTGATACTGGGTTAGGATTTCCTTGAAGAAATTTTCCTAAACCTTTTCCCCTCTGATAGCCCATGTTCTTCAACATTTTAAATCCTGGGTTATGCAAGTTTTCATTTGTAAGTCTCCTATCCCATGCTGTCAGTCAGTCTCAACCCCATAAATCGATAGCTTTTTTATACACCTCACCAGTGCCAGTGCATGTTTACAATCCGTGTCTGCATTCTCAAAAGCTAGAGTTAAGGTTAGCATTTCTGCACATAAATCGATAGCTATATTTGCAACATAAGACTGAAAAGTACATGACTGTCCATCCGGACCAAGACAAGGTAAAATCTCAGCGCTCTGTTGAACACTTTCAGCTGTTCCTACTCCCACTAAGGATGTAGAAGTTAATTGCAAAGGCCAGGATGGGGGTCAACTGTCTTTAGATATTACTGACACATCAGCTTCCTTATCCATAAGACCATAAAATTTCTTTCCTTTAATTTGTACTACACAGGTGGGTCTATTAGAGGCTATGGGTTGGGATAGATAGATTTCCCATGTAGTTGTGCTCCCAAACCCTTTATTTCCTCATTTCTCCTTTCATGGAGAAGGGTGTGATTTGCAGAGAATAAGCAATAATTGAGCAATATATTCTCCCAGCTCAAAACCCCAAAGATTTTGTGACATTAAAACTACTTGAATTTCTCCATAATCAGAGTCAACAACTTCTGGGACTACAGTAATGCCCTGTAAGTTAAGGCAGCTTTTGCCTAAAATTAGTTCCACATATCCTGCTGGTACAGGTCCCCAAATACCAGTGGGAACTTAGATGGGTTTGTCTGCCCCAACTAACATTACCCACTCTCTGACTGGGAGATCTAATCCTTCACTCCTGGTGTTCCTGGGGTGAGGGAATCAATGTGCCTCTGGGAACCCATGCCTGAAACGGGGTTGAGGTCTGGACTGGGAATGCCCTCATTGTTTGTGGGGCCTGGGTCCAGGCCCCTGTCTCATTTCCCAGCAGGGGGGTGCCATTCTGATGAAATTTTGGGTGGCACTGATTAGCCCAGTTATTTCCTCTGTTACAGCAAGGACAAAGCCCTGGCGTTTCTTCCGCTGGGTGGGGCACTGCATTGTAAGGTCCTTTCTTTCCTGAGATCTGGCGGCATTCCTTTATAAGATGCCCAGGTTTTCCACAATTATAACATTTTCCCATTTTAGGGTTTGACCTTTGGCTCCTTTTAGATTTGTCAATTGCTAAATTAGCCACTGCTTGCATTAATATTGCAAAGTGATGAAGCTCAGTTCCTACATCTTGACAAGCTCTGAGAAAATTTCCCAAGTTTTTTATACACCTCACCAGTGCCAGTGCATGTTTACAATCCGTGTCTGCATTCTCAAAAGCTAGAGTTAAGGTTAGCATTTCTGCAGCCGTGGTATGAGGAATCTGATGCTTCACTGCCTCTTGTGATCTTGCAAGAAATTGCACATAGGGTTCCTGTGACCCTTGCATGATTTGTAAAAAGGATTGTACTGGGACTCCCTCTTCAGGAACTGTGGCCCAGGCGCATTCAACAGCCTGTGCACACTGCTGATAAGCAGCATCTGGGAGTGCCATTTGACTTCCCAGGTCTGAATAAGGGCCATTACCTAATAGCATATCCTCTGTAACGTCTCTGTTCAGCAACACGGTTCTGTTTAGCCTGGTCTGCACACATTTCTTGCCAATTTAAATTCCATGTCAGATATGCATTAGCGGACAATCAAGTGTGCACCAAGTGTCTCACATCAAAGGGTGAAAGACGCATAGCACCAAACACAGATTCTAGCAATCCTAAGGTGAATGGGCTCTGTATGCCATTATTTACCACTCTTGCTTTTAATTCCTTCAACAATTTAAACTCCAGTGGGGTGTGTTCATGAACAACCTGCTGTGGATTGTTTGGATCAGCCCTTATGGAAATAGGAAAAACACAAGATCCTAAGGGCTCTCCAGCTATGACAGCAGAGCATAAAATTCTTTGTATTGGGGTCTCTATTTCTGCTACCAAAGGAGGCGGTACACATGTTTCTGCAACTGGAGGAGGCGGTATAGGCCAGTTTTTATCCTCCCTCTCCTGTTTTTTATTTTCAATTGGAGCTGTGAGTGGGACAACAGATTCAGATTTTTAGATTCAGCCTGCTGTCCCGCAGAATAATAAAGAGATAATGGCACAAGTACAGTATGAACTAAACTCCAAGTGGATAAAACAGAATAATGAATTTTAAGACCTTTTTGATGAGCTTGTTTTAATCCTTCTCCTGCTCTGTCCCAATTTTCCACATCAAGAGTGCCTGCCTGTGGAAACCATCGGTTATGTGTAATAATCTCCTGCAGCAGCTTAGTTAATGTCTGAGAACTAACCTGAGCACCAGTTTGTTTCAACAAAACTTTAAGCAACTGCACAGAATGTTTTTTTTCAGTAGACAAAATCTGCCCCATGTTACCCTGATTCAGAAAACTTCCCATTCCCAGTACTTCTTTAAGGCACTGCTCCCAGTACCTCTTTAGGGCACTGACCTTATATCCACTGCCGGCCGACTCGTCCTGGGGTCTCCGTTTCCCCTGTTCCAGGAGATCTTCTTCATTCATGTCCTCATAGTCCCGTGTTCAGACTGTCGCCTGTTTGAGTGCCACCTGTAGAGCACCCAATTCTGGGGCTGTTCGGGACACCACCATGTAATGTGCCACAATCCCTGGTGGACTGAACAAAGGGGGATGAACACGAGAATAAAAGACAAGAGACAGAAGAGTACATCTGGAAGAAGGAGTCAGGGGGCACCTTGCCTCTAGTGGACAAGGGCCCTGAGCTTTACACAGCCCTCCATATTTATTAGTCAAAAGAGATAGTGAGAAGGGGGGTGGAAGAAGGGGTCAGCTGCTCAGTCCAGAGTAGGCTTGCAAGACTGCATTCTCTAGATGCCCCAGTAGACAACGTCAAGGAGCTCGGCACCAGGAAGCGATGGCCCTCAGCAAACCTTCTGGTAGCAGCAGTAATCGTGAGTTTGCCCACATCCTGCATTCGTGTGCTGTTTGATCATACAGCCTCCAGTGGAATGCTGAGTTGGTCACATCCCATGGGGGCTTTGGCTCCCTGCAAGGATCCCGCTAAATGTACTCACTCTGCCCCTATTGTCTTGAGAAGGCAACTATATATAAAATTTTGAAAAATGAGTATACCTCACTTTAACTACAGCCTTGCCTAAATTACCCATGGTCATACCTGTTGTTCTAAAATAGCCTATGTTGGAGGTACGTTGCTCTAAAATAGAACATGTTGGAGGTAGAGCAGACATAATAAATAATACATTAAAATTAAAGTAAATTGTTTGCACTTAGAGATTGGCTTGATAAAATCAGATCACTTAGTCCCCCAGTTAAGATAGTTAATACGGCCCAATGTAGGGTGAAACATGGCCTTCAATAATTAAAATTTGTTACTCAAAACATGATTAATAAAAGGGTGACTATCCACACTGCATCTCCATTTAATAGTCCAAAGTGCTTCTTGTTCCCATATCTGGAAAAAAAAAATCATAAAGAATGTCTTATGATGGATGACTACAGCATTAAGGCTGTAGTCCCATCTATCAGGGCCCCCATATCTAACATCTAATATTATTAAAAATTGCTAATACTATTCAATCAAGAACTGGTAAACATTTTGCTCTAATTCATTTGGCTAGCATGTTCTGTTAAGTGCTTATTTCTACAGACCCTCAGCTACAGTTGCCTCCACCTCTGAAGAAACACAATACACCTTTCCAGGCCACCTGGGGTACCCTCATAGCTTTGTCATCACACACAAGCTTTGCAGACAAGAGCTTAATGACATCCACAATCTCCATGAGCACAGATACAGCATTATGTTGAGGACATCCTCCTCCAAGAAGATTCACTTGATACACACATTACGGTCATTTAGACTAATTTGTCTCTTAGTCCATTCAAGGTATTATAACAAAATTTATTATGCTGGATAATTTGTAAACAACATAAAGTTAGGCCAGGCATGGTGGCTCATGCCTGTAATTGTTGCGGGAAGTCAGGGACCCCAAATGGAGGGACCGGCTGAAACCATGGCAGAAGAACATAAATTGTGAAGATTTCATGTACATTTATTAAAGTTCCCCAAATTAATACTTTTATAATTTCTTACACTTGTCTTTACTGCAATCTCTGAACATAAATTGTGAAAATTTTATGGACACTTATCATTTCCCCAATCAATACTCTTGTGATTTCCTGTGCCTGTCTTTACTTTAATCTCTTAATCCCATCATCTTCGTAAGCTGAGGATGAATGTCGTCTCAGGACCCTGTGATGATTGCGTTAACTGCACAAATTGTTTGTAGAGCATGTGTATTTGAACAATATGAAATCTGGGCACCTTAAGAACAGGAAAACAGTGATTTTCAGGGAACAAGGGAGATAACCTTAAACTCTGGCTTCCTGTGGGCTGGGCAAAACAGAGCCATGTTTCTCTTCTTTCAAAAGCAAATAGGAGCTATATCACTGAGTTCTTTTTCTCAGCAAGGAACATCCCTGAGAAAGAGAATGCGTTCCTAAGGGGAGGCCTCTGAAATGGCCACTTTGGGAATGTCTGTCTTTTACAGTTGCAGATGAGGGATGAAATAAGCCCCGGTCTCCTGTAGCGCTCCCAGGCCTATTATGATGAGGAAATTCTCGCCTAATAAATTTTGGTCAGACCAGTTGTCTGCTCTCAAACCCTGTCTCCTGATAAGATGTTATCAATGACAATGCATGCCCGAAACTTCATTAGCAATTTTAATTTTGCCCCAGTCCTATGATCTCGCCCTGCCTCCATTTGCCTTGTGATATTTTATTAATTTGTGAAGCATGTGATCTCTGTGACCCACACTCTATTCATACACTCCCTCCCCTTTTGAAAATCACTAATAAAAACTTGCTGGTTTTGTGGCTTGCGGGGCATCATGGAACCTGCCAACATGTGATGTCTTCCCTGGGCACCCAGCTTTAAAATTTCTCTCTTTTGTACTCTTTCCCTTTATTTCTCAGACTGGCTGACACTTAAGGAAATAAAAAAGAACCTACATGAATTAGCGGGGGCAGGTTCCCCTGATATGTAATCTCAGCACTTTGAGAGGCTGAGGTGGGTGAATCACCTGAGGTTACAAGTTTGAGATCAGCCTGGCTAACATGGTGAAACTCTGTATCTACCAAAAAATATAAAAATTAGCAGGACATGGTGGTGCACCTGTAGTTCTAGCTACTGGGGAGGCTGAGGTAAGGGAACTGGTTGAACCCTGGAGATGGAGGTTGCAATGGACTGAGATCATGCCACTGCACTCCAGCATGGGTGATAGAGTGATGCTCTGTCTCAACACACACACACACACCCCCCCCCCATAAATTTATTGATTACAGTTCTGGGGGCTGTAAAGTCCAAGATCAAGGTGCTAGCAGATTCAACATCTGGTGAGGGCCATTACTCACAGACAGTGCTTTCTATCAGTCCTCACAAGGTAAAAGGGAAAGACAAGTGCCTATAAGACTCTTATAAGGCACTCATCCTACTTATGAGGGCAGAGCAATCATAATCTAAAACCCCCACCTTTTAATACCATCACCTTGGAGATTAGAATTTCCCATACTAACATTTGTTTCTCCTCTCTGTATATTGGGGGAAGCTCCATACTGGTTTGAGGCTCCATCTATGCTCCATACTGGGGAGGGGAGACACAAACATTCACATCATAGCAGATGAGTTACAATAAAGCAATCACAACTTAAGGAATGTGGGATTTATAAAGAGCACTCATTCTTCCTCACTCTCCATAGCCATCCAGTCTTCAAGGCTCATCTACTAAGCCTGGACAATCTCTCCCTAAACCACACCTCTTCTATGTCACACTATTTCTCCCTAAGTCTTCAACAAGTTCACCTTGATCTCCAGCAACATTCTCCACTCTACAGCCTCTGCCTCTAATCAGAAACATTCTCAAAGCCATCCCTTTGCAGGACTCTAGAGCAATATTTTTCTGAAGTACACACCTGATAAGTGAGTCCCTTTCCTACTTAAGTGACTTTTTGTGTCCTTAAAGAGAAATCCAAGTTTTTCTTGTAGATTCAAGATGCTCCAAGAGATGGCCTCTGCTTCTTGCTGCACACTCAATGTGTATTGCTGTCTGCCTGTCTACCTCCATCTATGCTCTAACAACAAAAGATAGCCTGCTATGTCTTATCTTTTTTCCTGTGTGCTTTCACTCCCTTCTGCCTAGATTGAATTATTTTTTTCTCCTTTACCCAGGCCTTCAAACTCAGCTCAGGTGTTACCTGCTCCAGGAAGTAATCCTAGACCCTGTCAGTCTGAGTTAGTTGTTCCTTTTGGGGGATCCCATAATGAACCAGGCATCTGTCTATCATTATATACGCCAAGTCTACCATGACCCAAGCACTGCACTCTCATCTCTCTATCCGGGTGATCGGCATCTCCAGGGCAGAGCCCATGTCTGGTTGATCTCTATGTCTCCAGCAGCTGGCAAGGAAGTACCTCTTCAGAGACCTGCATCAACATAATACCTGCCACCCCTCATTACCTGATAAGTAAATTCCATTCTAATCAGGTGGCAATGTACCACTATGCTGGAAGATGCACTATGATTGGCTTAAGCCAATATGAGCAACCTCATTTTTATTTTTAATTTTTGCCTAGGGAATGATCTAAAGGAAGACAAGAGATGTTTTCCTTTTTTTTTTTTTTTTCCCACAGAGTCTTGCTCTGTTGCCTCGGTTGGAGTGCAGTGGTGTGATCTTGGCTCACTGCAAGCTCCACCTCCTGGGTTCACACCATTCTCCCACCTCAGCCTCCTGAATACCTGGGACTAGAGGTGCCTGCCACCAAGCCCGGCTAATTTTGCTTCTGTATTTTTAGTAGAGACGGGGTTTTACCGTGTTAGCCAGGATGGTCTCAATCTCCTGATCTCATGATCTGCCTGACTTGGCCTCCCAAAGTGCTGGGATTACAGGCATGAGCCACTGCACCTGGCCAATGTTTTCCTCCTGTATAAAATGAGACAGGCATGTGAATGAAGTCAGTTTTTCTGTTTGTCTTTATTCTTCTTGCTCAGGAGGGCCCATTGATGTGATGTCCAGAACAGTGGCAGCCATTCTGTGGTCATTTTCAAGAAGGCCCTGGAAGAATGCCAATAGGATGGTGAAGCAAAGGGCTTAAATGAAACCCAGTTCTTATTTAGACTCAGATTCTATCACCTTGCAAAACTTTTTGTAATAATAAATTCCTTTTTGGTTTATGTGCTTCATATGTTTACTATACTTGATCACTGAAAACATCCTTTTGGTATAGTGATTCAGGGAGAAAAGAGAAAATAGTTGACTCTTGTTTTCTGCCTCTCCACTTGTCTTCACGGTTGTGGTGCTTCAGCTGGAGAACAATGTCTTGATGTTGCTTAAAATCTCAGAAAGGGCCCATCTCCTCAGATTTAGACCTTTAACTCTTCTCAGATTAAGATATTTGAACTAAATTTGTTGTAATTTTGTCTATTAACTAATCCTTAGAGCTATGTTGCATGTCCCACAAATTATCTCCCTCTGGAGCAGAAGGTTAAGGGGTTAATCTTGGTAATGATATTGGATAAAGGGTACTCTCTCATGCATCTGCCTCACCTCTCAAGGTTTTTTGTTTGTTTTGTTTTTGTTTTGAGACAGATTCTAGTTCTGTCACCCAGGCTGAAGTGCAGTGGTATGATCTCGGCTCATTGCAACCTCCATCTCCTGGGTTCAAGTGATTCTCCTGCTTGGTCTCCTGAGCAGCTGGGACTACAGGCATGTGCCATCATGCCGGGCTAATTTTTTTATTTTTAGTAGAGATGGGTTTTCACCATGTTGGCCAGGCTGGTCTTGAACTCCTGACTCAGGTGATCTGCCCACCTCAGCCTCGCAAAGTGTGGGGATTACAGGCATGAGCCACCAGACCCAGCCTAAAAACCACTTTTTTTGGTTTGTTTGGTTTGTTTTGAGATAGAGTCTCGCTCTGCCCCACAGGCTTGAGTGCAGTGGCACGATCTCAGCCCACTGCAACCTCCACCTCCTGGGTTCAAGCGATTCTCCTGCCTCAGCCTCCAAAGTAGCTGGGACTACAGCCACCTGCCACCATGCCTGGCTAATTTTTGTATTTTTAGTAGAGGCAGGGTTTCACCTTGTTGCCCAGGTTGGTCCTGAACTCCTGACTTCAAATGATCTACCTACCTCGGCCTCCCAAAGTGTTGGGATTGCAGGCGCGAGCCACCTTTTATCACATCTCATTTTATGTTAATGAGGTTATTTAGGGTTAGGTCCCTTGATCGCCTCAGTTAGGGCTGGCCACCACAAAAATAAAGTGACTGGAGGGTTGGAGTTTTCAGTTCCACCTATTGACTTCCAGGAAGGGGAAGTGGGGACTGGAGATTGAGTTCTATAAAAAATGTTGGCCTCACGCCTGTAATCCCAGCACTGTCAAAGACCAAGGTGGGTGGATCTCGAAGTCAGGAATTCGAGATCAGGCCTGTCTCTACTAAAAATACAGAAATTAGAGAGGCATGGTGATGCGCGCCTGTAGCCCCAGCTACTCAGGAGACTGAGGCAGGAGAATCGCTTGAACCTGGGAGGTGGAGGTTGCCGTGAGCCAAGATCCCGCCACTGCACTCCAGTCGGGGGGAAACGGTGAGGCTCTGTCAAAAAAAAAAAAAAAAAAGTTAGAGACCAGGCACGGTGGCTCACACTTGACATCCTAGCCCTTTGTGAGGCTAAGGCGGGCAGATCACTTTAAGCCCAGGAGTTTGAGACCAGTCTGGGCAACACAGTGAAACCCTGTTTGTACAAAAAAATACAAAAAAGTAGTTGGGCATGGTTATCTCACGCCTGTAGTCCTCACTATTCAGGAAGCTGAGGCTGGAGAATCCCTTGAGCCCAGGGAAGTGGAGGTTGCAGGGAGCAGAGATCATGCAACTAGACTCCAGCCTGGGTGACAGAATGAGACCTTGTCTCAAAAAAAAAAGAAAAGAAATTAGCCAGGTATGGTTCCACGTACCTACAGTCCCAGCAGCTCAGGAGGCTGAGGTGGGAGGATCACTTGAGCCCAGGAGTTTGAGACTGCAGTGAGCTGTGACTGTACCACTGAACCCCAGACTGGGGAAGAGAGTCAGATCCTATCAAAAAACAAAAAACAAACAAACAAAAAATCCTCTTGAAAAATGAGATTAGATGAGCGTCTTGAGTTGGTGAACACATAGAGGTGCCAGAAGGGTGAGTGCCTGAAGAGAGAGCATGGAAGTTCCATGTACCACCCCAACCTCTCCCTTGCTATATACTTGCCCTATGCATCTATTTGGACTGTTTTTGAGCTGTATTCTTTTCTCCTTTTTTTTGACACAAAGTCTCACTCTGTTGCCCAGGCTTGGAGTACAGTGGCATGACCTCGGCTGACTACAACCTCTTCTTCCTGGGTTCAAATGATTCTCGTGCCTCAGCCTTCTCAGTAGCTGAAATTACTGGCATGTGCCACCACACCCGGTTAATTTCTGTATTTTTAGTAGAGACAGGGTTTTGCCGCATTGGCCAGACTGGTCTCCAAATCCTGGCCTCAAGTGATCCACCAGCCTCAGACTCTCAAAGTGCTGGGATTACTGGCGTGAACCACCATGCCTGGCCTAAGCTGTACTCTTTAGAATAAACCAGTAAATGAAAGCAAAGTGATTTATTGTGTTCTGTGTGCCATTCTAGCAAATTACCAAACCTGATGAGGGGGTCACAGGAACCCCTGATTTATAGCCCATCAGTCAGAAGTACAGGTGGCCACATGGGACTTGGATTGGTGTCTGAAGTGAAGACAGTCTTGTGGGAGTGAGTGCTTTAACTTGCGTGATATGACGCTGGCTCCAGTTAGACAGCATCAGAACTGAATTTAATTGTAGGATAGACAGTGGTGTCTCCAGAGAATTGAAGAATTGCTTTGTTTGGAAAAAAGCCCACACATATGCTGTTAGAAGTATGTGTGTAAATAGAGAAGTGAGTTTTTGCTTAATCATGCATCTTTGTTGTTTATTGTTTTCCTCTCATTTTTTCACCTCGGTAATTGTTTCTTTCATTTTCCTGAATCTCTGAAGAAGAAGAAGAAAGGGCCTGGACTCTCATATTCCTTGACCCTTGTTATTTGGAGGGATGAACTCCGGTCTCCCACAGAAGGTTAGAGGTGAAGGAACATTCAGACACATAGGTTTCTAAGATGAGTAGTTTGATGACATCTCCAAGGTGTCTTCTGGGAATGGTAAGAAACTCTGAGTTTCTGCCACTGGATTGATTCCAGCTCCATTGTCCCCTTGTCCTTCAGCGAAGTCTCTGCTGAAGCCTATTATGTAAAAATCACAGGACACCATTGGCTTAAACTGAGCTACTGTACTACACTCAACAAACAAACCCAAAATAGAGTCACTCATACTAAAGTTCCATGACACCAAACCAAAAATTAAGTTATCTGGCTTTCTAAAAAATCATAAAGAGGGAGAGAGAAGATAGCCAAATTCCCAAACAGGTCACTTTCAGTAGCCATGAAAATGCCTCTGCTTTAATCCTTACAAAAGAAGTAACCTAAGTAACCATGTCAGTCAATCTGTTTTTTTTTTTCTTATTGTTTCCCTATTCCCACTGTACAGAAAAAGCAACTTCGAAATTACCATTCAGCATTTTTTTTCTTTGTTTCTGCTTTCTTTAGCCCTCCTCTCCCAATAAAATCAAACTTCTCTGTTCTACTCATCAACACATGCATTCTATTTTGAGGGATGAGGTGTTGATTCTTGAATTACAAATAAAGTCAATAAAAACTTTACATTAAATTAGTTGTAATTTTGTCTTTTGACAAATCCTTGGAGCCTGTGTTGCTCGACAGGAAGTCAGGAACTGGCCACAAGAAAAGGAACTCAGCTGGTGGTAAGTTGGGGTCTGGCAACTTAAAAATTATTGTTGGAATGCCTGCTCTATGACAGACATTTCCTAAACTCTGGAGCAGGGCTGTGCAATGAAGTATCACTTGCCAAATACAGCTTTTGGGTGCTTGCTATTTTTCTCATTTAACCTTAAGTGTGCTATAAGTATAAAATGCATTTCATGTCTTCTAAGACTTAGTATGAAAAAAGAATGCCATTTATCTCATTCATAATTTTTATTCTGATTAAATGTTCCAATGATATCCTTTTTGATGTGTAGGATTCAAGAAAATACATTATTGGTGTTAATTTCCCAAATGTTTCCTACTCTGTTTACACATGGCTACTTGAAAATTATAAGACACAAATGTGGCCCATGTTTACAGATCATATTATGTTTCTATTGGACAGGGCTATGCTAGAGACATAGCACTGAAAGAAGGTGCTACTTGTGGAGTTTGTATATCAATGCAGAAAGTATTTAGGATAGAAAATAAAGGAATGAACAAAGACGAAAAGCATCTGGTGAGATAGGTTGGACCTGGGGCAGCCGTTTTGCAAATGGGTCAAGAGGATATCTCTGAGGACAAGCTATTTAAGCTAAAATATAAATATTCAGAAAGAGCCAGGTGTGGAAAGCTCCAGAGGAAGATCATAGTAGGCAGAAGGAAGAGAGAAAGCAAAAGCCCTGAAATGGCAAGAAGCTGGCATGGTCAAGGAATCAAGGAGTCCACCATGGGTCCAGCACAGTGTGTCAGGTGAGAGGGCAGAGATGAGGTCTGGGGATACACAAGACAAATCCCAGAGTGCTTGAGAAGTGTGAGTTAGAAATGTGGAAGCCATAGAAGAGTGCTGAGAAGAATAACTCATTGTCTTATTTTTCCTATTAAAATACAATTTGTCTGTGTCTGGGCTTTAGGAGAGGGAACAGCAGGGCCAGAAACAAGCTATCTGCAAAGTTTGTACAAATATCCAAGTCTAACAGGGCCATGGACATGGGTAGTGGAGATGGAGATGGCTCTGGCTGTGCATTCATCATGTTCTGCAGATATAATCAATAGGACTTGGACCGTATTGGCTGGTAAGGAAAACGAAAGGTGAGTTCTAGATTTAGAGCTTTAATAACTGAATATTTAAACTCCAAATAGATAGAGAATATTGGAAGAACGGCAGGTTTGGGAGCACAGGACAAACAACTGGTTGGTTTGGGCAATGTTTGGTTTGGAGTGTCTACAGGACTCTCATGGGGCGATATCAAGAAGTCAATTGATTATATGAGACTAGAGCCCCAGGGGAGGCCAGTGCTAACAATTCAGATGAGAAGACAGCATGATACTTTAAGCTGTGAGACTGAATGATATCACCTATAGAATGTGGGACACCCTAAATTTAGAGACATTCAGAGCAGAAAGCACCAGTAAATTGAACTGAAAAGAGGTGGCCAACTGAGCCGTAAAGACAACCCAGAGTGGATTGTGTGTACATCTTATCATCTTATGATATGGAAAAAAATATGCTTGAATTAGGGGAAAGAGATCCAGTCGTTCCCATGTCACTGGAACATCAGGATAAAAACTGAGAAAGGTCCACTGGATTTGGCAGTCTGGAGGTCATGTGCATCCTTAGGAGAGTGCATTAGCTGGAGTGCTAAGGAGTAAAGTCAATATGGAATGGATTCAGCAGAATAGGTGAGGTGAGAAAAAAAAAAGCAAGCAATTAGAGACAACCATTTCTAAGGTTTAGCTAGGAAATCTCTTTACAGAAAACACTTCTCTTAAAGAAATAGGGTTGAAGTTTGGAAAGAAATAGGGGCCAAGATTGGTTTCTTTTTAAAGGGAAGGAATAGGATAATGTTTATGTGGTAACCAGAAGTATCTAGTAGAAATAAAATCTTGAGAGTTTCTTTTTAGCAGAAAGCAGAAGGACAAATACCAGTTCTTGGGGAAACGAGAGAGAGAGGGATGGAAAGCAAATGTGAAGAGGAAAGTCACTGGGAAAAAGAAGAAGAATTTATTCACAATAACAAGGACAGGTAAATTGAGGGTTAGGAAAGAAAAGGCTAAAAAATGCACATCTAATTGTTACCATTTTCTCATTAAAATATCAGCCAAGGCAATCAGCTGAGGGTGGAACAGTAGAGGAAGTTGGTCAGTTTGAGGAGAAAGCAGAAGGGCTGAATGTTATTTTAATGCATCAGAAATCATACGTGCTGGAGAAGCAGATGCTAACAAGGAAGTGCTGAGTTTCCATTTGAAATCTGTAATCATACATCCATTTGAGCCTCTCAATAACTGTGACATTGAACAAGTCACTTCCCCTCTCTGAGCCATGGTTTCCTATGGATTACACAAGAACGGTATTTGTCCCAACGCAAGGATATAGAAATAATAAAATATACATTGGTTGACACACATTGGGATTGCATCAAATAGCAGCCCTCATAATCAGTACAGGTGTCATCTCTAGTCCATGGTTCTCTTCTCCACTTTATAACTAGGGTGGATCCAAAATTTTACAACATTGTCTTGTTGGTCTGTCCCCACCTGTCACTGCACATTCATCTTTTCCTCTTGTGTCAACATTTCCAAATGACTTAGAGAATATGGATACATCATACTGTCTGAATGTCTTCTAGGATATTTGGAGAGTGGGTGGAGAAAATCTGAGTCTGCTGAGGAACTAAGGAATGGGAGAGGGTTAACCATACAATTCTGTTGAAATCAGTCTGGTTGAGCTCCAACTCTGGTTCTACCCCTTTCTGACCGGGGACTTTAAATAATTAATGTAACCAATACAAGTCAACTTCCTCATCTGTGCAATGATTATACTAATTCAAACTAAGATTAGTCAATATGCACCATGTCTCAGGGTGTGTTCAGTGCTTACACATATTAACACATCTCATCTGTAGAGGCTGTGAGAAGCATTGTTAGGGTTAAAGGAGAAGCTCTTGGCATCTGAGTAATGTTCATAAGTAGTAGCCACTATTGCTATGAGCATTGTTCTTGTCCTGACCTTGAACTCTGTAAGGCATGACCCAGGATTGAGCCCCATGACACAGCACACAGTCTGCTGAGGACCAAGAGTTCCCATTTGTCACAGACACTCAGTCTAGCCTAGATTTCCATGTCCAGTCTCACTTAATCCTCACCTGAAAGTTAGACGTCACCACAAAATTGTCCTTCTTCTGCAGAGGAGAAAACTGAGGCTCAAAGAGATGTCACTGACCAAGAACCCATATTGGCAAGGTACCAAAGAGTAGAGATCTAACTGACCCCAAAGCCCAGGGCTCTTTACTCTGTAACAGTGATGCGCAACTAGGGGGAATTTTGCCTCCCACGGTACCTTTGACAATGTCTATAGACACTTTCAGTTGTCACTCCTGAAGGGGGAGTTGCTACTAGCATCAGTGGATAGAGGCCAGGGGTGCTGCTAAATATTCTACTGTGTACAGAACAGTCCCCCACAACAAAGAATTATGCAGCCCCAATTGTCAGTAGTGTCAAGGTTGAGAAACCTGGAGCTACATTAAACAATGTCCCATGAAAGACCTCAGTGAATGTGACTGGTAATGACAGGAAGAAAAGAAGGAAGAGAGAAAGGGAAAGGAGGAAAAAACCATGATACTAGGGTATGACCATATGCTGGAAATCTTTGGGGAACTCCTTTCAAATGCAGCACTTTAGAGTTGCAAAGGTAGTGGCTCTAAAGTTGTTCATCCTGAATTTCAAATCTTGCTGCCTCCACTGACCGGCTGGACGTGATGCTAAAAAATCTAAAACAACCCGGAGGGCATGAATTCCCTCTGGTAAAAAAAAAAAAGGGGGTAATGATGGCTGCCCACAATGTTACTATGAGTATTAGATGAGAACAAGTGCTAGATAATTGCTGTTACTTTTAGAGAGGCTGGAGAGCCCAGGGTGGGAAGAGTCTCTAATTTTCATGGCCATAAAAATCACTGTAGCTTTTACACAGAGAGATTCTAGAGTGGGGTTCATGAATATGCACTTTAACAAATACCTTGGATGTTTCTGATAAAGCCCACAGACCACAGTATAAGCAAATTTGGTCAAGTGGCAAAGACACAAGGGACACAGAGACCTTTGGGTTGAGTTGGATGCAACAGCTTCCCATGTGACCTGGTGCAGAGACAGGGACTGTAATTTTGTGATTCTGTTTCTTAAAAGCAAGGAAATAGATCCCAGAAACACACCAGGATATCTTCCCATAGTGTTATTGCCCAGAATTTAGTCATGTGTCCACCAATAAGCAATCCCTTGCAAAGCAAAAGTAATTCTAGTTAGAACAAATTAGAAAATCAAGATATGCCCGCAAAGATGGAGGAGGGATACCTTCCCCAAAGAGTGAGTAACTGAACAAAATTGCGATTTGATTTGCAGAGAAGAAATGATGAACAGTTATTTGTGGGGGAGGGGCACCACCAGCAATATCTGTCAAAATTGTTGCATAGAGATAGGGCTTAGAATTCAGACTAAGCTAAATTAAAGATCTTTGTCTACTGTTTCCTACTTAAGTGACCAGCAGATTTCACAATTGCTCTCAACATTGAGTCATTCCTATGGAAACTACAACCAATGAATATTACAGAGCTATTATGTAGACCAAACTACAACCCATACATAGCAATTAACACAGTGAATAGTCTCTGATAAGAACCCTACAAATATTAGCTAAATATTCATGCTCATTCTGTTTATCCCACAGACCTTGAAGATATACAACGAATGCTAATTCACTGCATCCCAAGCACAGAACTTTATATCAAGTAGGGACAATGAAAAGCAGAAGGGAGAAAGTAAATATAGGGTCCCCTTTGTTGACTTCCTCTAGCATAGAATCTATAGGATGTAATATATTTCTGCTCTTTTTTTTTTTTTTTTTTGGTGGGGGAAGGGGAACGGAGTCTCTCTCTGACGCCCAGGCTGAAGTGCAATGGCACGATCTTGGCTCACTGCAACCTCCGCCTCCTGGGTTCAAGCAATTCTCCTGCCTCAGCCTCCTAAGTAGTTGGAGTTACAGGCTCTCGCCACCACACCTGGCTAAGTTTTGTATTTTTAGTAGAGATGGAGTTTCACCATGTTGGCTAGGCTAGTCTCCAACTCCTGACCTCAAGTGATCCATCCTCCTCAACCTCCTAAAGTGCTGGGGTTACAGGCATGAGTCACCACGCCCGGCCTATAACATGTAATGTATGTCTACATATTACAGGTAATGGTTCCAAATCCTCTTCAGCTATGAACTCAACCCAAATCCTAAAACTTTAAATTAAATATCAACTAAAAAATAGGTAAAGGGTCCTCACAGTGGGAGGGACAGGAGCTGGGAGACTGGGAGAGCATGGGGCCGAAAGAAGTTGCAGAGCTTGCCAGCATGTTTGCATTGAGTGATAGAGGCCACAGATGTGAACCTTCTGACTCTGAGTCTTGTGCCTTCCTCACGACGCTGAAGCTGCCTATGCTCAATTTCCATTGTCCATACACTCTCAGTTCAGTATTTCCGCTGGTGGATAGAGCCCTTTAATCCTCTTGCTAATCAGCCTGATAGATGGAATGCATATTAATAATGATGGGGATATGGAGAACTATCCTTTCCCAAAGGAACTCTGAGAGAGTGCCAATTTTATGTTATAACTATTCACAAGGCTCACTAGGGCGGGTCTTGGTAGGAGGAGGAGCTATAGTGGAAGTTAATGAATAGTTGTACTGTAAGATGGTGCCACAGCTGAGAAATGGCCATTGCTGAAATGTTACAGGTGTGGGAAGATGGAAAGCGACTTCTCCATTCCTCTGAATGAATCTGAGGAGGTGCTCCCTGAGCCTGCTGGCTACACCGTTCTGTGGATCTTCTCATTGCTAGTCCACGGAGTCACCTTTGTCTTCGGAGTCCTGGGCAATGGGCTCGTGATCTGGGTGGCTGGATTCCGGATGACACGCACAGTCAGCACCATCTGTTACCTGAACCTGGCCCTGGCTGACTTCTCTTTCAGTGCCATCCTACCATTCCGAATGGTCTCAGTCGCCATGAGAGAAAAATGGCCTTTTGGCTCGTTCCTATGTAAGTTAGTTCATGTCATGATAGACATCAACCTGTTTGTCAGTGTCTACCTGATCACTGTCATTGCTCTGGACCGCTGTATTTGTGTCCTGCATCCAGCCTGGGCCCAGAACCATCGCACCTTGAGTCTGGCCAAGAGGGTGATCATGGGACTCTGGGTTCTTGCCATAGTCCTTACCTTACCAGATTTCATCTTCTGGACTACAGTAAGTACTGAGAATGGGGACACACACTGTATTTTCAGATTTCCATTCTGGGGTGACACTGTTGTAGAGAGGATGAACGTGTTCATTACCATGGCCAAGGTCTCTCTGATCCTCCACTTCATTATTGGCTTCAGCATACCCATGTCCATCATCACAGTCTGCTATGGGATCATCGTTGCCAAAATTCACAAAAAGCGCATGACTAAATCCAGCCGTCCCTTACACGTCTTCACTGCTGTGGTGGCTTCTTTCTTCATCTGTTGGTTCCCTTATGAACTAACTGGCATTCTAATGGCAGTCTGGCTCAAAGAGATTTTGTTCAATGGCAAATACAAAATCATTATTGTCCTGCTTTACCCAACAAGCTCCTTGGCCTTTTTAAACAGCTGCCTCAACCCAGTTCTCTACGTCTTCATGGGTCATAACTTCCAAGAAAGACTGATTCGCTCCTTGCCCACTAGTTTGGAGAGGGCCCTGACTGAGGTCCCTGACTCAACCCAGACCAGCAACACAGACACCAATTCCGCTTCACCTCCTGAGGAGAGGGAGTTACAAGCAATGTGAGGTCGGGGATATTTTGGGGCTCTGTCTCTTTCTACCCTGCATTAAGCGGGAAAAAAATTCTGACAGTGTTTTTCTTCTACATTCATACTACCACCACCACCACAATCATCAACATAAAAGAAGTCTGTACCAAACGTGTAGGAGGTTTTCCCCACAACCAAGCAGTAGACACCATCTGGGTGTCGTACAATTAAATTCCAACACTATCTACCTGGAGTTAGTGTCAGATCCCACAGGTTTAAGGCTCATTCCCCAAGTCTGCTCCTCCAGTTGAGACACAAGTCACAAATCCAGCCTTCTGAAACTCTGGACCAACCAGCTTCAATCAGGGTTCCCACTACCCCCTCTTTGGGGGTAGAGTGGCTCATGGAACTCAGAGAGATAATTTAATTGCTAGAGTGGCTCATAGAACTGAGCGAACATTTATTTTGGCTTGCTGGTTTATTATAAAAGATACTACAAAGGATACAGATGAAGAGGCGCATAGGGCAAGGTATGCAGGAAGAAATGAGCAGGTTCCATGCCCTTCCTAAGTGCATCACCCTCCAGGAACCTCTGCGTGTTCACCTCTCATGAAGCTCTCCAAATCCAGTCCTCTTGGGTTTTTATGGAAGCTTCATGATGTCAGCATTCTTTCCTCCAGAGTACAGGATGGGACCCTCCCTGGGGAGGGTCTTAAGACCCACAATTAGAAAGGTGAGGGAAGATTAGAGTCCTGCTTTGCGGTAGATGAAAGGAAAGGAGAGAGATTCTGTTTCCTGAGGCTTAACCCACCCAACATTATAACAAAGGCGTGTAGCAAGGGATACGGGAGTTATGAAGCAGAAACCATGGGCTAAAACCAACATACATCTTAATACCAGATACCCTAATCTCAGTCCTAACTTCATTTAACCTTGGTCACATTGAGTCATTACAGGATGAGTGGCTCAAGTATTTCCTCAGGGAAAATACTTCAGTGCCCTCCCTGATTTGAGGGTAAGAAGTAGATAATGAGGCCACTGTGGGTGTTATTTTTCATGTCTGGACCTCAGCCTATATCCTGAGACTAAGTGGAAGTGGGAAAAGAGTACAAGAGAAGAGACAAAGTGGGGGGATTTGTAAGGCTTAGATGAGATAGTGTTTTTTTAGAAAAAATCTTTATCTACCATTAAGTAAAATGTTTGCCATAAGCTTCCTCGGGCTTTCTCTTTTTAAAGTCAGACTGTAGAAGGTTTCTTCTATTCTTATTTGTTAAGAGTTTTCTTTTATTGTTTAAATTGTAAATCAATATTGAACTTTATTAAATGCGGTTTCTGTAAATATTAACAAGATCATATTACTTTTATTCTTTTATTTATATCATTATAAATTAGATTACGTTTTCAATGTTACACTACCCTTGCATTTCTGAAATAAACCACGCTTGCCCATGATTTTTGAACATTTATAATCTGTGTCACAGATTTGTTTAGAATTTCTGTATTTATGTTTATGTAGAGATGGCTCTGTTATTTCACTTTTCTCTACTGTCCTTGTTAACTTTTTACATAAAATGTGTATTTTCCTGAAAGGAGTTTGGAAGCAATTTTCTAATTCTATCCTCAGGTATTATATCTTTTTTAAACATTTAGAAAAATTTGCTAGTGAAGTCAACTGGATCTTGGGTTTGTTTTTTGGGAAGGCTTTTAAATATAGGTTCAATTTCTTTAATAATTATTAGACCTGGCCATTTTCTTTTTCACATTGCTCACTTTTGGTAGACTGTGATTTTCAAATTCAAGAAATTTGGCCATTTCATCCCAACTACCAAACTTATGTAACCACCCAGTGGGTTCTTCCTGCCTGCTGCACAGACAAAACCAGTTTACTGAGACTGTGGTATTGCAGTAAAGAAAGAGTTTAATTAACATGATGCTGGCCACATGGATGAACTGGAGTTATCATTCAAATCAGTTTCCCTGAAGGCTGAGAGGTTATGGTTTTTCAAAGACAGTTTGGTGGGCAGGGGACTAGGGAATGGGTGCTGCTGACTGGTTGGGAAGGCAACCATAGGAGAGTTGAAAGTGGTCCTCATGCACTGAGTCTGCCTTGGAGTGAGGGGGTCACAGGACCACTTGAGTCATGAGTCATGAGCTCCCTGTGGGGTCAGTCAGTTGCTACAATGAAAGTCTGAAAAACATCTCAAAAGACTAATCCTAGGGTCTACAATAGAGGTGTCACCTATAGAAGTGATTGGGGAAGTTACAAATCTTGGCCTTTACTGCCCAGGTGTCACCGGCCACATGACACCTGGCAGTAAAGGATTATAGAAACTATAATCCTACATTTTAGCAGAATTCAGACTCCTCACACAATCCTAATCTTAGGCCTTTCATTGCCTTTCAGTCCCAGAACAAGGAGGGTGTGAGTTAGGGAAAGCCTACTATCATCCTTGCTTCCATGTTAAACCATAAACTAAATTCTTCCCCTGGTTATCTTAGCCTATATACAGGAGTGAGCAAAGACAGACAACCTTTGAGGCTAGAGGCAGGAAGGAGTCAGCCACGTTAGATATCTCTCACTGTCAAAATTTTTGCAAATGTGATTTCACTTATTGGCATGAAACAATATAATAACTGTATGGTAGTTGATATGTTTCTTTCAAGTAATGAGAATGTAAGCTATCCGAGGGCAGGAATTTTGGTCTATATTGTTTGCTGATGAATCCCAATCCCCTGCATATAAGATAGTGTCTGATATGTGATAGACACTCAATAAATGTTTACCTCATTAATAAACAATAATATCACTTAATGTCCAGTCAAAATTATCTCCAGTCCTCATAATATGAATCAGGTCAGGTCTAGGAAATTCCCATCCTCATGTCCACAATATTTGTAAATTTCCAGCTGGCTTACATTTTCATGAACATTGCTGATTTTGAGCTTCTGCTTAAGTAAACTACTCTGGCTAATTATTGCCTAATGACTTCATATTTAAATAAATAACTCATAACTCAGCCTTTTACCTTGCTTTCTGCACATAAACACTCAGAAGTTGTTAATTCTGTATTGTGTAACATACTTCCCTGATGCACTGGCAAAAGACACCACTCAACATGAATATCAGGCAGTCCTGTTATCAACGTTCTCACGCACTCCACTGCTTTACTCCGTTTTCTTCTCCTTTTCCCTTCTGTCTCTCCTAAAGTTATTTGCATTTCCAAGGTAGAGCAGTTTGCGCATTTCATTTGCACGTTTGACTCCTATAAACGCTTTAGAGTTCTCAGGAGGTGTATATTCTTAAATGCCCAACCAAGGTGTAGCCATAGAAAAGAAGGAACAAGGCTGGGCATGATGGCTGACTCCTATAATCCCAGCACTTTGGGAGGCCAAGGTGGGTGGATTATTTGAGGTCAAGAGTTCTAGACCAGTCTGGCCAACATGTGGAAATCCTGTCTCTACAAAAAATACAAAAATTATCTGGGCATGGTGGTGTGCACCTGTAATCCCAGCTACTTGGGAGGCTGAGGAAGGAGAATTGTTTGAACCTGGGAGGCACAGGTTGCAATGAGCTGAGAATGTGCCACTGCACTCTAGCCTGGGAGAGAGAGAAAGATTCCATCAGAAAGGAAAGAAAGAAAGAAAGAAAGAAAGAAAGAAAGAAAGAAAGAAAGAAAGAAAATAAAAGAAGGACAAAATTTAGATAGGAATGCCAGGGCTTCCAGATGGGCTAATTAAGAGACTTCCTCCACTGCCAGGACAGGGGATTCTTACTATTCCTTCCCACTGGCCTTGGTTAATTGCAGTAGAACAAAGCCACTACATTCTCTCCATTTTTCTTTTCCTCTTCAGGAGTTTTCATTGTGGATTCTCAATTCCCATTTCATGATGATATATTGTGGGTTCAGGAAACTGAGATTTTTTTTTTTTAAATTATGGGACAATTACCACACAGAAATACTTCCCAATGTGTGTTCATGTGGATGGCTCACTAACTTCCTGTATCAGGCCTGGTCAGTCTGGGATGGCACTACTGCTTGCTGGTTTCAGATTTTGCTGCTTTGTGCAACTTAGTACTGCTGTTGTCAGGTGTTGCCTTGGGGATGCTCCAGAAACTCTGGTGAATATAGACGGCTCTCTGAGCCTTCAGGCTCCCCTGCAGCTCCTGGAAGGCAGGTTTCATTGTAATGAGGATGTTTCACTATGAACAGCAGTCACTCTTTCTCCAATCCGGCCCCTGCTGACAGGCCACTACTTCAGGGCATGTTGTCCCTTGAGCTGTATATGCTGTTCTTGTTACATGGGGTCTTGGTAGTGGTCTGGCCTGTACTGGGTAAAAGTTGCAAAGTCCTGGTCTCCAGTCAGAGTGAGCTGGCCAGTATGGTGAAACTCTACGTTCATCTCTGCCGGATCCGACCTGTAGAAGCTGGCTGAACGATGGATGAACAAATGCATTCTGATGCTGATATCCAGTGAAAAAGCAGGCTAGGGGACCGGGAAGCTCACAGACACTGAGGAGGGAGCTGTAAAGAGTCAGCAGTCACGGCCCTGACAAGCTGGCACTGTGGGCATTTATTCAGTACAGATTTAATGACAAAGGCCTCAAGTCAACACATCTTGTGGGTAATTAACATTGTCACCCTGCCCCCCAAAAGAGAGCAGTCCTGTGCATAGATGACTAAAGACCAGGTTCCAAGGCCTAAGTAAACAAACTTATCTAGATCAATTCCTTTACACTTCCTTGTTACCCATTCTGCGAAAATTCAGCTGACTTCAGCCAAATCCTCTTCTGAAGCTATGCAAACCCCAGGCCTTCCGAGAAGGCTTGTGTCCTTTTCCTATAATTTATCTTACAATTTTTCCCACCATCCTGACCGATCTCCTACACATCTCACTGATGAGAGAGCCATAGGATACCAGGCTCCTGGGTAGCAGCAATTCCCTCACAGTAAAACCAGAAAAGATGATAAAATGCTGGGCTTCAGTGTGTTCATAAAGGAGAGCCAGGATGAAAGGATCAAGTCACCTAAGCCTAACCTGTGATATGGCAACTGCACCTGAGTCCCCTTGGCAATTTGCAAAAGCAAGTGCTGCTGAGGCTAGTGCCTCCTTGGTTGCTACATTCCTTGCTGTTATCACTCCTTGTCCCCACCAGCCACTCAGAGGTCAAGTGGGACACCTTCAAAAGGGAAACAGCTGCCTACAAGGCCAGTGCAAATGGAGCTCACCCCCAGATTTTTTTAGTAACAATCGGTAAAGTCAAAACAACAGGGTGCCAAACCCAAGGTCATCTAGATTTCCTCCTGTTATCTTCTAGTTTTATAATTTTGTCTTTTACATTCAGGTCTCTGATTCATTTTCAGTCCTATTTATCTGGTGGAAACCTGACTGACACAGCATATGTTTCTAGTGTTTAAAAACAAACAAACAAAAAAACACAGAGGAAAGATGAAGCATTAACTAATAGAAATTAGTAGAAATTGAGTGGTAGAAATGGAAATAGTCTTTCTCTCTCGGTCTTCTTTATCATGAAATTTTCTTTTTGTGTTTTTGCCATCAGCATATACATCTGTTCTCTCATTTACTAACTGAAAACGTAAAAACCTCTTGTACCACACACATCCTCCTGAACTTTACAACCAATTTCTCTGTTCTCCTTGACAGCAAACTCAAGGGTCACTTCCAGTTCCTTTCTCTACTTCCTAATTTCACATTTTCTCCAGAACTCATTCTAAATGGGTTCATGTCCTGATTACTACAGTGGGACTACTCTTATCAAGGACAACAGTGACATCCATTGCCATGTTATTGCACTGCAGGTTCAGACATTTGGTGCCTGACTATGAATTCAACGGGGTAAATCTAAGTCATATATGCTTATCTGATAATGATGGGAATCTTAGGCCCCTAAGCATATACGACTCCCTTTTATTTTAAAATATATAATTCTCTTGGCAACATCCCACTTGTTTGGTTTTCTTCCTACCTCTGACTTATCTTTCTCAATCTCCTTGACTGGCTCTTTTCTGACTTTTAAATGTTGGTGTACCCAAGGGCTCAATTCTAGACCCTCTCATCTACTTGCTTCAATGCAGTCATCCTAAGTAATGTGTTCCCATAACTTGAAATCCCATCTGTACATAAATGACTCCCCCTAAACATCCATCATAATCCACAACTTCTCTTCAGGATTCCAGAGTGGTATCTACCTCCTTCCTCTGCATTTCCACTTGAAAACTTATGGGGCATCATCAAAGTAAAACTATCAATTTGATTCCCCCTAAAACAGTTGCTTGCCAAATCTTCTACATTTCTTCCAAATTTAGGAAAAGTCATCAC